GCTGCTTTCAGGCTGGTGGTTGTTGACTGAAGCTCCCAACCGCTCCTTGTTTTCTTTTTTTTATTCTGGGCCAGCTTTAGCTCTGGCTCTAGCTCTGAGGCTTCCGCTGCTATAATCGAAACAATGTATAAACTCTAGCTCGAGATCCCGGCTGGCTGAAAGCTGATTTCTGGGGTTTTGTTTAGCTTCTATATTTGCAACATAGTTTCTTAGAGTTGTAGCTCACAGGCCGGCAAGTCAGGCGGGGAACAGTTGGAGTCTGCAGTCACTGGAGCAAGCAAGCCTCATGTTCGCTTCCAGCTGCCTGGCTGCCGGCCGCCATCTTGGCTGACAGTTAATTTGCATAAGGATATGCTGATTAGCCAATGGGAAGGGTAGCGGTCGTATGCTAATTACCATGTTTCTCTTTTATTAGTGTAGATGGTGCTTCAAGACGGCCCCCTTCTCTTGCCCTTGGACGTCAGACATAAGCACTGCTGGTTCTTGGGCTTTTGACCCAGACTTGACTTAGCCCTTCAGCTCCCGGTTCTCCCCTCCTCAGGCCTCTGGCTCAGGCTGTTGTGCATCAGCTTTCCTGGGTCCCCAGCATTACATGCACGTATACCCCCTCCTACGCAAAGTTAGTATATTTGCTGCTTGTTAGTTACATAACACAAACTCAGGTTCAAAAGTTCTCAGCCAGAAATTTACCCAACAGCACCATTGTCATAATTGAATATCAGGAGTCTATAAACACTATGTCTGTCTAAAGATGATCAGATACCTACAGCAGGCGTTCACAGGTGGCCCTGCTTCCTGAAAGAGAGAGTAAGTAACTGCTCAGAGCTGCACTCAATAAATGGTGGCACCTCGTCCCAAAGCCTGTGTCCTTTCCAGAAAACCGCACACGCTCTAATAACTCTCCTCTTGCCCAGCCTCACTGTGCTGAAACACGCGGGCGCTCAGTGGATGCATGCTGGGCGTGAAAACCAAAAAGGTCCTTAGGCTTGTATCTGAGGTCCCGGCACTCAGAGGAGGAACTAGAATTGGAGCCAGTCCTTGTTCCCTGGACACTAATCACTAGTCCCGTGTGTCCCCAGCAGTACTCCTTCCGAAACTGTGTGGGGTGGCACACATTTAGGGATCCTCTTTCTAAGCTACTTAATGAGTGAGGCTTTCTATGGTGGAATGCTGGAGAAGTGTTTGTGGAGGGGGTGCTATTTTAAACAGTGCTGAGAGAGTTTGGGCAAAATGCATTTGGCAACTTCTTTGTTCAAAAACTCATCAAGCACTGCAAATGTGTAACCTGTAGGCAAGGTTAATTAAAGCTGGAGAAATCTAAAAATAACCTGGCATTTAAACATGTGACTTCCGTTCTGCTGTCATAGTCTGACAGCACAGACACACTCGCAGCTCCAAACTAAGCTCCCCATGGCCACCTAGCTCTGCCTGACCACTGCACCCCTGTCAAGGTGACCGGTGGGAAGAAATAGGCTCATCCAAGCATCGAGTCTTCAAATATTAGCATCCATTCCATAGAGAAAAAGGCAGGAAGATAGATAGGAAGGTGGGTAGATGCATGACTGAAGAGATGATTGTGGTGATAGATGGTAGACAGGTAAGTAGATAATAGAAAGATTGATTAATGGATGATATGTAGGTAAGTAAATAGATAGAAAGGTAGGTAAATAACTAATAGATTGATTGGTGCATGATATATACTAGTACAGATTGATTAATGGATAATAAATAGGTAAGTAAATAGAAAAATAGATAAATAGCTAATATACTGATTGATGGATGATATATAGATAAATAGATAATAGATATAGATAGATAGATAGATAGATAGATAGATAGATAGATATAGATAGATAAACATATATTTTGCTTCCTTAAAGAAAAGGTGAAGGCAGAGCCTGTCTTGGGGAGAACCTCAGGAAAGGACTGAAATGTCCATGTTTTGCCATGGAGCAATACGTTTAAAATGTGAAACAACTGAGCAAAAGAAGCAGGTGTTAACATGGCCAACATGTACACTTTCTGTGTTGGAGGAGTAACTCCATTCTGGAGCGGCCTGGCTGGTCCTGCACCAAGTTCAACGTGCAGTGCAGGTAGAGGCCCTGTCTGTGCCTCAAGGTGGCCTTGCATTAGGTTTTCCCCTCTTCTGCCTCCTCGGGCTTTAATGGAGCATTTTATATGATTCCATCTTCTCTCCTCCCTTAGCATAGCAATTATACTCCCTTCAAAAAAGTTTGGTGGTGGCCCTAGAGTTGCAGTACACATTTTAAATGGAGTTAACTCTCCCTTCACATAACACTGGACGGCTTACGTGTGTGTGTGTGTGTGTGCAGCCTCGGAACCGTTGGCCAGCTCTTCCCTCCAGCCTCAGGACACTGGGTGATCCTTTCCCTTACCCACATGCCGGAGTTACCTTTTAGATCAATTAGGATTAAGAGAAATAAAATATTTTAGTGTTATTTTACCGCCATTTGCTCCTTCTCCATGTTCTTCCATTCTTTATGAAGACCTGCGTTTCTAACCTGTTATCATTTTCCTTCCTTGTGAAGAACTTCTTTCAACATTCCTTGCAGAGTAGTTCTGCTAATGTTGACATTCCTCGTTTTTGTTTTTCCTGACAAAATCTTTGTGTCTCCTTCACTTTCATAGGACAATTTCACTGTGCAAAGAATTCTGGTGGGTGGTCATCCCACTCTCTTCTCACTAGTGCAGTTTGGGATAAAAAGTCTGCTGCTGTCGTTTTTATCTTTGTTCCTCCTGCTCTTTTCAAGGTTTTCTTTGCTTTTGGTGTATTGCCGTTTTAATATGATATGTCGAGGGATAGAGTTTCTTGGGTAGTTTTTATGCTCAGTAATCCCTGAGTTTTCTGGATCTGTGGTCCGGTGTCTGTCATTAATTTGGAGACTTCTTTGCCATCACTACTTCAAGCCTTTCTTTAGTATTAGAGAATGGTGTTTGCTTATACACAGACCACAGGCATCCTGAAGGCCCCACACGCTGATCAGTTTGTTCACAATTAGCAGCCGGCCGTCCAGGATGCTCCCTCTCTGCAGCAGCAGCTGGAGGAGGGCACGTTGTCTACAGTCAACCCTCAGGCTAAGGGCCATGCAGCTCCCGCCCTCC